GAATTTTAAGGCAGCACTTGGAATCATTTGAAGAACGGATAGCTAATTCAAAAGCACCCTATATTGACAAATTCGGTGACTACTGACGAGAATTGTACCTTTGTTTTATTCTCAGGGAGAAATTCTAATTATTTGTTAGGTTGTTTTAAGCAAGATTCAAAAAACACATTCTTGTGATTTAGTTATCTTCGTCGCTGTTGAAACGTGCACGAGCGAAACGTGATAGCGTACCGTGTGTGATAAGGTCTGCGTTGATTCCAACTTCTGTTACCATCGATAACGTTCTCAAAGTTCTGAAAAAATGCGACTATAATCTGGCGGATTCTCGACTCCAACACGCACCGAATCTGTTGGCATGGCGACTTTGGTGGCGTTCGGTTTTGGGGCATTATTGATGAAAAGATGAGATTGAGGACGGCTGCGATTGTGTGATTGCTTGAAATTTTTTGTTGTGGTATCCAGTTGGTTTGCGAGAATTGTGTAATGATGTTGTGAATGGACAATTAGGAATGTGTACGCTTCCTCTGAAGCATGATGTTTGTGTGAATGAATAATTGCGACATCTAGTATTATTGGTTGTCAGTTCAATTCGGACTGACTCTGATGAATTCGGATAGTTGCACTGGTCAAATGTTATGAAATCGGATTAGAAATCAGCGAATCCGTAGGAGTTATAAGCCTCATTGCAGTTCTGAAACTAGGTTTAGGTTTTGAGTACATAACTATAATATTGTAAAGTTGAGTTGTACTATGGGGAACTTAGAGTGTGTTGGTGGATCACATTGCGATGCAACTTGAGTTCTATATTTTGTGAATAATTGTTTGTTTGTGTTCCATATAGGAGAAATTCTCTGTAATTGTATGATAGTGAACGTTACACTTAAGTTAGCTGGCTTGTCCAACAATATGAGGTTCGTGTTTTAACATTTTGCGAAATTTCATTTCGCTGCTCGCCCTATTAGAGTTTTTTTCAGCTGCTTCTTCGTTTGCCAAACAGCGGAGAATTCCCTCGAAAATCAATTATTTTTTGATGAAATTCTTGAATTGTTTATTTAGAACAAGCTCTGGCTGCCTAATCCGATATCATCTTGTAAAGTGCAGAGATGATTAACCAATTGCCATCGCTGGCTGTTCCATCGAAGAGCTCGATAAATGCTCGTTACTACATCTATCGAATAGGGTACTCGTCATAATCAATTCGGATAATTTTGTCTTCAAAACGACATCCCTCTCGTGTTATCTGCTCGATATTTATTGTTTTCGTCATGAAGTCCATCATTTCCACAACATCTTTTTGAAATCTCTCGTTGCGATATCGTCATGTTTATCTCACAGACCGTCTCCACCTTGTACTGCTTGCCGTCCGTGAGCATATACCACATTCATGCATGTGATTATCGCTCTTGAAAATACATAATTTACAAATGATGAAAGCTGTGAAATAAGTGTGTGTGGCGTGCTCATCCATCTATTCGTAATATGTACTTGTTGATGAATTCAGAATATTAATTTGAAATTGGGTGTCTCCTTCATCCAAATTCGTTGATGAAATGAATAGCTCAAGGCATGCAATGAATTTCCATATGTCATATGTCATCAATGCACATGAATTTCCATATGTCATCAATTTTTTGCGAAATCTTTTCCGTCTTCCATTGATATCAGACGTGATTTTCCCATCAGGTGGATTGGAAAAATTTGCGTTTAATATGCAATTTTGCTCGTTCTATCTTCTGGGCAGTTAAAAAGCAGTAGACTCATTGTTNTTTTGTCGGCGAATTTGTTCTTGTGTTATTTTCGAGTTTATCGATCACTTCGGTTCGTTGCCGTCACATCGTAGTAATTCATATAAAGTGTATTAATGAATTTGATGAGTTTCGTTGTTGCATTTGTAGTCGTAAAGGTGTTAATAACAGTAATAATAACACTGATGGTACGAACGAAACGATTCATAATACTGTTGTGAATGGTGTTGATTTGAGCATCAGTGTTCAGCGGAATCAATTTGGTTCAGAGGAAGAGTTACGAATGAAAGTTAGAAAATTGTTTGAGAGCATTGGCGATTGATTAATGTTTTTTCCGTTTTGGAATGATGATTAGACAAATGGCTTCAGATAGGCATTGTAGAAATGCAGGAAATTTTCATAAAAGCATTCAGGGTAATTGCAATCGGATGCCTGTTTCGTTCCAATCAAGAAAAATTGTTGTTTGTGTTTGCATTCGTTCGGGAACAAATGAGCATTCGAAAAAAATGGCGGTGTTGGGGGTCATAATAAAAATAATATCGAAACAACGATAAAAATCTTTTCCTGCCAAATACTTCCGAAGCACCAGCAATTCACGTGCTCAGTTGTTTTGCACAAGTTTTATTGGCAATAAAATGTTTTGCTTTTGCGAGAATTTTAGAGGATATTTCAATTTCAACAAATAACTGCAATTGGTCTGCGTTGGGAACAGTTGATGTTCATGGACGATCACATGGAAACGATAACGAATAGTTGACTAATTAAAATAACAACTATCTATACAACAACAACTTTTATTCAGCATGACAAGTGAGTGAGTGACAACTCGAAAGAAGAACACAAGTCACAAACGTTCCTCTGCATGACGTAAAAAGCATAAAAATCATTTTTGCACTGCAAATTTTAGAAAATAATGCAATGATTCAGTAAGATAGTTGATTTCACGTTGAGAGAATCAATATTCACAAGTGTAAAATCCTTAAGTGCATTTCCGTTCTGTTTTCAAAACATAGCAATTGTTCGAAAACATGACTGATTGTGAGATGGCGTTGCACTGAAATATTCACTGAATATCTTATGAATCCCAAAACACAATCAAGAACATGAATCAGCAATGTCGATAAGGTGTTCCTTTTGTTTCTCCTGTGCCAGCGTTTTATTCATTTACTTATTGTTAATGAATTGAAGCTGAATTAGTATAACCTATATATATATATATATCAGTTTCAATTCATCGATTCACAAATATTGTCTCATCGGATCGTAAGATTAGAAGAATTCAACTAGGCATGATAGCGGAATGCTTCATGATAATATGTACCAAATGAGTTGGTTCATTTCAAATGCAAAACGAAAAGATTCTTTTGCTGATATTAATTTTAGAGAGTTTGAAAAATGTCGCGATTCACTATGATCAGTTCGTTTCAAATGATTTCTAGGTGATGAATTCAATTCTCCATGTTGCACTTTATATGTTGTCTTACTCAATTTGTTATTCCCCTTCATGTGTCAAAGCATTAATTAAACCGATATTTCGAGATCGCTTGTATTTTACTGAGCGAATCGGATGACTTGAACCCTTCAAATATCATTTGAAAATATCAGTTCTTCAAAACGATTGCGTTCGCCAATTGCAACAACAAAAATATTTTATCACGTCATCGTTGTGTTGCTTATGGTCAATCTTCCCACTTGTTTGGCCTAAACGTTTCAGCCATTCAAGCCATCATCAGAGAAGGACATCAGATGACCTTTAAATAACTGACCTTTAAATATCCCAACGAAGCTTTGCCTCACTGCTGTTATCTCGCCTAGCATCTGTCTTATGAAGATCCGAACCTCTCAAACGCACCAGTATCGCTCGTCTATGAAGATAATCATCTAACGACTGCATACAGTATGCTCGTCACTGTTCGATAAAATATGCATTCAAAAATAATGTTCGTTCACGTCAACCCAATAGCCATCCTATGATGATGAAATACATTGTTTATGCGTTATCCTCCCCATAAAAACAGTAATGAGATGTGTCCATATGCCGATCACCGTCGTAAATCCGACACAGAAACGAATTTGCTTACTCAAAATACTTCGCTCGCTACTTATATCGTCATATCCTGTGCGAGATTTCCAGATCATACGTTGATCAACGATCACGATTTCACACCTAATTTTTGATGATCATGCGGATGCTTATCCATGCGTATGTTGATTACATTCGCACTGTTGCACATGGCTATCGCAGTTCATAATCCTTATCGCGCTCTGTAAATTAATTGGTGCAACTGAAGGGAATATGGTAAACAGAGCACGAATCAACCTAATGCTCATCATTTACCACTTCTATCGTTTGCAAACTTAAGTAGTCGAATGGCTATCCGCTGTTCCATTGAATCCAAATATTGCCACAATTCAAACAATATTTTGGTTATTCACAATAATTCCACTAAAATGGGGATGTTTGAGTACAGTATGTTCGACATTTTTTTAAATTACGTCCCAGCCAAATCAACTGGATCGAATCAGTCATTTGATTCATCGTCGAGAATTTTTTTGCTCGTTGATTATTTGAGAAATTTGGTGGATTTTTTGTTCGTCACATTGAATCTTTTAATCAATTTTGCTGTCGTTCTGATTGATTACATTTCCGTTGATTTTGTGTAACTGTTGCTTCATCTGTTTTTAGTATTCGTTCTGCATGCAATTTTGATAATATTGTCACTGCGAATCACCATCTTACTTGAAATCAACATNTCGTTATTTTTGTTGGAATGTTGTGTTCGTATCGAAGAGAATTAACAAATGAATGATTATTTACTTGTCACATGTCACATGTCACATGAGCGAAAGTGTCACATGTCTGGATATCATTTCTAAAGATGTTTTGAAAGAAACCGAGGCGTTAGACCGAAAACACTTTCAAATTTTGCAGTTTCATGCAAATTCAATTGCTGTATTTTGACAAAGTGAATTTCACAAAGTGCTCGTTCACAACAACTTCAAGTGTTTACAACGTTTACAATTGGAACAGTGTTTTGTTTTGGATTATTCAAATATTGCCACAATTCGAACAATGTTTCGATTGTTCACAGTGATTTCTCGTGAGCCACTGAAAAATTCCCGTTTACATTTAGTGTTTACATGAACTTCAATTTCAAGTGTTCCTTCACTTATTTACGCCTTTTTTTGCAAAAAGACATTTAAGCGGCTCACACCAAATCAGTTCAACCCAAAAGTCCGAAGTCGTTCGGTTGTATAAGTTCATTTTTCATCATCTTGAAACGTCTGCATCCATATTTTCGTGTCCATTTCTGGAACATAGTTAAAAACCGCCGAAATATCAAACGTCATGAATACTGACTATAAGTTTATGCCTGACTTAATCAACCTAGAGCGAGTCTCGTAGAAAAAATTCAGATTCGTGGTTCACCTGCCATGATGTCTATGTGACAACTCCAAACGGATAAATAAATGTGGCACATGGAATGGACAGAGTATGAAATGGACTGGATGATAATTTTTCCGTTTTGACATGATCCTAACTGTGAAAAAAAGTAAGTAAATGAAGAGTTACGAATAAGTGATTGAGTGCAGTGTTATTGTGCAATTGTTGTAATGATGATTTGAAACACTGTCTTGAATGCAATAACCTTTGATAGGTGCAAAAGTTCATGAATACTTCCGATAGTGTCTGATTTTCGCCCGTCCAAAGCAGTTGACTGATTTGTTTGTTTTCAAGCAAATTTCTAGTTGAATGTTCACTAATTGCGTATTCAATGCGATTCCTCTCTGAACGATTTGATTTGAGAGAGAGAGATGTGCTTTCTTGGAATAAAATGATGCAGTGCAACGCCATGAATAAAAAAATGTTTATCTAAATTTTTTCGCCATTAATAATATCAATTAAGAGAAATTTCAAAACAATTTCCTGAACTGCTATAAAAATCGAACGAAGTGAAAGTGAAAATCTAAATCTTCTACTTCAAAATTTCGTTTTTGCTGACAGCGAGTAAACACAAAGTTCATTTTACTGTGTTCAATGAATGATCAGTTTGGAAATTTGTCTATCAATATTTGAGATTTGTAACACCTCTTTACACTGATCAGCTTCAGCAATATAATCAAGTGTCTAAGCACCTAACTGTCCTTGCGGCTTTCTTCAACTTGAAAATTTCGATGTGTTGTCTCAAAGAAATAAGTATAAATTGCGGCTAAGAGTGAAGCTCTGGCCACGCTTCACAATTTGGGCGATTCTTCAAGTGCCTCTCTTAACCAGTGACATCAACGAAGATCGGTTCGTTAGCCGAGAAGCTCCCACATATTGCATCAGTGACAGCGTCCAACAGACAGTGTTCGATCGGGAAAATCCGACGGTCGGAATTTCGGTCGGGACACCAAATTTCGTAATGTTGAAAAGTCGATTCGGTCGGATTCTGACCAAACTGAAATTTCGTTCGGATGCAATCACTGCACTGCATAATTTGATATGGCATCAGAACAGCAAAAAAATTTTTCGAAACTGACTCATTGATGTGCTGCTGTTAATCAAATGAATTTATCAATATGTCAACAGGCAGTCGTCAGCTAGCGTATAATTCAAACATAATTTGCTTGGTCGGCGAGAATTTCAATTGCGTTTTAATCGACTTTGTGCTATCGTATTCTGTGAAGAATCAATTGATGGCGGTGCATGCCTTTGTTCATTATTCTGTCTGCATTGTTGAATGATCACAAAATGCGATGTGACGGCATTTGAATATCTCTTTTAAAGAAGACAACAAATTTGCATTCGGCTCTCATCAATCTTCGAATGTTTGCATAATGATTCAATTTATGACTGATTGCATTAATTAAATGATTGATTGAACGAAATTCGTAGTTGATCACTGATGATACTTGATATGTTTACATTCAGCCAATTGCATTCGAATTCACTAAAAACAAACCGTATAAACAATTTCATACACTGAAATTTGATACTCTCAACAATAAATCATCTTGTTTAAGGCAAAACAACAATGCACTGTACTGATGACGCCCGTTTGAACGCCAAAAAAACCGGCTGTAGTTTCCGAAATTTCGGTGAAGTTTCTTTAGATTATGAGAAATTCACTTCTTGTTTCAGTGTTAAGCGTAGAATTCGTTGTGCATGCCTTTGAGCAATGTTTTTACGCCAATTAAAA